GCGGATGGTTTGTGCTAACTTTTGGTACTGTATATGCTGTCCCTCTACTTGGAATGTCTTTTCTTACACTTGTAAACCTCAGACGTTTCCTCTTTTCCCATAAGCTTCCTGTATCCCACCTGTACGAATAAAGTTATTACCTCTTTTGTCCCACCACTGTACCTGGTACACACGTCCAGTATTGTGCTCTTCGTACTTTATTTCTTTGGCATTTGGAGTTAACCAAACAGTAGCTTTGAGCTACACTGCCCACAGAATTTTTTAATTGCCCTAACATGTCAAAATTAAATTCTACTATTTAAAAATCAGAAGATATGTCAACACTGGGCATATATTGCCACATGACAATTACCTATATTACCTATAGCAAAAACCTCTCCAAAAAAAGGAAAAAGAAAAAAATTTGATTTGGTCTGAGCCTCTCAGACTCAGTCTGGGCCAGTTTGAGCTTGTTGGAACTGTTTAGGTCAGTCTTGACCAATCTAATCTGGTTGGAACCCATTTGAGTTGGTATCAACCAGTCTAAAGATGTTAGAACCAGTGTTAACCAGTCAGCCTGTTTGAGTGAGTTAAAACTAGTCCGAGCTGGTTTGAACCATCTGAATCAGTTTGAGCTAGTTTCAATCAGTCTAAACAGGTTGGTATCAGTCTAAATTGGTTGTATCTGTTGGAACCAGTTTTAACTGGTTTCAACCTGTCTATACTAATATAAACTGGTTTGAATCCGTTTGGGCTGGTTTTGATCAGTCTAAATCGATTTGAACCAATTTGAGCGGATTTTGACCAGTCTAAACTGACTGGAGCCAGATCTAGGCAGTTTGAGCTGATTTCATTTGGTTGAAACCAGTCAGAACCTGTCCGACTCATCCTTAGCTGGTCTAGACTAGGTTGAGATAGTTCAATTTGGTCTGAGCCAGTTTGAGCTGGCTGTTCACAATCTAACCTTGTCTCAGCCAGTCCAAGTCTGTCAGAACCAGTTTGAATTGACTTGAACTGACTTTAACAGGTCAAAATAAGCCTAAACTGGTCTGAACTGGTTTGGTCTGATTGGAACTGGTGGCAATCATCTCAGTGGGTTTGAACTGGTCAGAGACGATGGTGCTGGTCATAACCAATATTATTTGGTTAGAGGCAGTCTGAACTTATCAAAACTACTATTAGCCTGTCTGGATGGGTATTAGCGATCTAAACTAGTCAAAACCTGTATGAAGCAGCTGGAGACGATATGAGCCAGTTGGATGCAGGATATGTCACTCTGAGCAAGCCAAAACCAGTTTAAGCCACACAAAACCAGTATGAGCCTGTCAAACAACTGTGATCCAGCCAGAAGGACTACTAGTAGGAGCCAATTGGAACCTTCATAAACCAGTCTGACCCAGCCATGATGGTATGGCCAATAGGAACTGGTCAGAGATGGATGGCCAGAACCGGTGTCAACCAGAACACGTTGGTTGGAAATGGAACTGGTCAAGCTTGGTATAAACCAGAACAAACCAATGAGAAAGACAGAACAGGCTGAAATCAATCAGAATAAGTGAGAACCAGCTAGAAATAGTCCAAACTGGTCAGAACTGGTTTGAATGATTCATTGATTTAAAAGGAGTAAGGCTTTCTCACTATTTAAGTTTAATCAAATTCCAGTTTTATGGGATCCACTATGAAAACCTACTGTAAAAGCTTACTTAAAATAATGAATGTGAATGCATGGACATTTCTAAAATATACGTGTTTAACATTAGATGACTTCATATTTAGTCCTCAGAGTTAGGTACAGCTATGGTTTCATTTCCAAGTGAAGCTTTTCCTAGCCCAGAAATAGAGAATTGTGACTTGGGATTTGAAGACAGTTATTACTGAGAGACATTCTGACCTTGAGCTGATGAACTAGATTACTTCCAGAGAGGAAAAAATGTGCTCTTCTACGACCAACAGCCAGTCAGTCCTAAGAGGAGTCCCAGTACCCAGATAATGCTATTACACACTCTCATAAATGAACTGAAATGACAATGAAAATGTCACTGTTACTTGGAAAGGAAAGCTGGCAGTGGTGCTGTTTCAGGTCTCCGCCAGACCTTGGTAATACTGACACTGTCATTTTTTGGTGCTTTCAGAAATCACTGAATTCAGACCTGGGAATCTGCATGATTTCAACAATTATCCATTCTTAAAAAAAAAAAAAAAAAAAGCTGATTTGGAAATTGTAAAATATAGAAGTGGCAAGTTCCAGAGCCAACCCTATAGCCTAGTGGTTAAGGGAGCCAGATCCCACATGATTGACTGTGGTTCAGATCCTGGCCCTAAGGATCTGAAAAACACACCAGGTGTGTGTGACAGGATGGAGAAGTGGAGGAGAAACCCCAACAGGATGGAGAAGGGGAGGAGAAAAGATTGCAGTGTGACCATGCCCCATTGGGAGATGCTTCCTCCTCCTCCCCCTCTCTCTGTCTCTCTAGTGAGCACACACACCATCTGGCAATTAAAAAAAAAAAAAAGCGGCAAGGACCATTTCTGTTTTTAACTGTGCTCCTTTAACACTATTTGAACGCCTGGATTGTTTACTACCCCCAAAACAATATTGCTAACCGTTTAGCAAATATTACAGTTAACTTTTTTTTTTTTGAGAGATATTTTTGTTATAGGTCATGTGTGCTTCACAGAGACTCAGAGAGAAAATGAAAAACCACCCCCCTCCCCAGGGGATGGCCATGCCTCAATCCCTGTTCCTCCATTGTCCACTAAGGATTTTGAACATGCACACACACACACCATGAGTTTCAAGCCACTAGGTCTGGGACTCAAACTGTTGTCAGATGTGAGTCCAGCGCCTTAACCATGACATCACCTGCTGGCCCCTATCATTAATTTTCAAAGTTCTTTCTATTTAGAAAGTCTGGACAATCTGTTCTGCATTTAATAAAGTAAACCCTCTAATATAACATATAATTTATCTCTAGTGTGTTTGTTTCTTTAAAGATTGAATTAAAAGTAACAGAAAATCCTAATATTAATGATCATGATAAAGAAAATGTGAATTATTTTGCACATATATTGGGGACAACAAGATAGTCCAGTCAATGGATGTAAGTAAACAGAAATATTTTATGTGTAGAACAATTTTCAACAGCTTGAAGACGTGCAGTTAAGGTCATGTTACATGTCAAATCATCCAAACTAGAAAGGAAACAACAGTTTTGGCTTTTACTTATAAATAATAAAAAGGTTCAGCTCAAACTATTTAAATTCATATTTCCAAAGAAATAAAACTTAGCAATTTTTAATCCAACATAATTATTCTAAAAATTTTTATAAGGGATTTTATGATACGTTGATAAATTATTCTTCTCTCCATCACTCATTTTTATGTTTTTTTTTTTTTCTTTTGCTGTCAGGTGAGAAAGCTCACTGGACAGAGATGGGGTGGGGAGGACGGCCACACTGCAATCCCTTCTCCATTCTCCTCTTGGGATTTTGGGTATTCATGCACACATGCCTGGCATGTTTGTTAAGCTGCCAGGTTTGGGACTTGAACCACCCAGTCAGTCATGTAGGATCCAACATGAACCACCACACCACCTGCTGGCTTTATTGTTATGTTCTTAAGGGTTCTTGATAAGACTGAATCCTTAATGAGAGGAGGAAAAAAAAGATTTTTAAAATATGCACCAATTCTAGCCAAATATTTATTACAACCTTAGCCCTTCAATATTTTATATAATGAGTTATTGTTTTAATTGGATATGAATAAGAGCAAGTAACCATGCTTGGTAAACAACATTACCACTGTCAGGCTAGACACTCCATTCATTTACTGCACTAATTTACCATAGTTTAGAATTATTTCTGTTACACCTTTTTCTCTAGGAAATGAGAAATCAAAGATATACTAAAATATATAGATCATGCATGAACATTTTTCACCCTTATTTTGCTACAACTAAAGATAAAATTAAAAAATGTTTTCCACCTATATGTTTTATGAATTTTTTCTAAAGTGTTCAATGTATCTCAGTTACATAGTCCATGCAGTTGATTGTAATTACTGGAATAGAACTAGATGCACTTTATCATCAGTTATTTTTTAATATTCTTAATTTAATGCAAAATATAACTGTTATTTTATATTGTATCTTCAAAAGTTTCAAGATTCTGATCTTATAAAGTGACTTACACCATTTTATTGCATTGTCTTAATATTTTTCTGAGAGCAGACAAAATTATTTTCCATTCATTAAGTAATAGAAAATATATGTGTTTACAATGTCATATATGGAAATACTTGAGTAAATCATTCCAAATTTGTAAATATAAATATAGTTTTGAAAATAAATATGCTAATTTTAATCATTATTATTAACATGATTTTGACAGTTTCCTAACATTTGCCAGTTACACATAAGTTAGTGAAAAATGTGACTTTTTATCTTATCTCAGAACATGTAGGTTTATTTTTTGCACATTTAAATATTGCATGTATAGGTTGAACTCTTTACTTAATTGTCAAAGTATCACAAATTTCATATGACGGACAGTGCTTTGACTTCCCAGAAAGCAGAAAGCTTGTTGGATTAATTAATACTTCTAGGAGATGGCTTAGTTTTTGAAAAGGGAAGAAAATATGATTTTATTTTCTTTCATATAGTCACGAGTGGGAGTAGTGCAGATCATGATATTTCTAAAATGACTTTTTTTTTTTTTGAGAGAGAGATATTTTTGCTATTGGGTACATGTGCTTGCCAGAGAGATATAAGGAGACTGAGAAAGCGAGTAATCAGCCCGCAGAGGGGATGGCCACACTGCAATCCCTTTTTCTCCATTCTCCTCTTGGGATCTTGGGCATTCACGTACATGTGCCTATGTGAGGTTTAAGTCACCGGGTCCAGGACTCAAACTGTGATTGACTATCTGGGGTCCAGCAACGTAACCATTATGCCATCTACTGGTCTGAAATGAATCTCTTGATAACAATCTGACAAAAAGATATAGCTGTAGCTTCTTCTTACCTTTCTCTTTGAACACAGGTTGGGTATTTCAACTGCCCTCTGTCACATTGGACTCTAAATTCAGATCTAATAGTGGATGACTCAGTGATATAAGTATTTCTCCTACAAAGAAACTCAATATATTCTCCATGGAAAATATGTGGTCTATTATCAAAATTCCATTTTAGGAGCAAATTATTCTTTTCCATTTCAGCAAAAGATAGCACGCAGGGCTCTGGGGGGGGGGGAAAGAAGAAGAAAACAACCTTGATACACTTGGTACTCACAGGTCTTCATCAAGACCTTAACATGTAAGTTATAATTAATATTTGAGTTAAAAGATAGGTTCAGGCCCAGAGATGGTGCCAAAGGTGGTAGGATGCTGCTATGTGATACTGGAGCCATGTGGGAAGGTCTTGGGTTCAGTTCCCAGGTCAACCTGAACACACAGGGCTCATGTGCAGGTGAGCCTGTGATCATGGCCGACTGGAATGCTAGGCAGGCAGAGTGGATCATGTAAGGAAAAGACCCTAGCCAGGCTCTCTCTCTCTCTCTCTTTCTCTTTCTCTCTCTCTCTCTCTCTCCCCCCTCTCTCTTCTCTGTCTCTCAATAAATAACAATAATAAAATTTAAAAACTTGGTGAAAAGCAAGTATCAACAAATTTCAAAGGGCAGATGTAATTCAAACTATGTCTTAATATAGCTAAACTAGAAATCAGTAACCAAAGGAAAGCTAGAAAATGTCTCACATTGAGATCTACTTGTCCTGAAATGAATCTCTAAATTTTTTTCAGAGCACATAGAAGATAACAAAATGGAAATCATAAGTTTTGTTGAACTGAATGATAATAAAAATCTAAACTATAAAAATGTATTGAATGACATCAAAGTTGCACACGGAAAGAAACATACCTTCAAATTCATATTAGAAAAAACATAAAAGATGGAAATTAGAATTTAGATAGCTATTAAAAAAAGCTATAAAAAGAGTAGTAAAATAAATCCAGGCAGAAAAGACAAAATAATAAAGACAAAGAATACAAGTTTTATTTTATTTTACTACTTAATTTTATTTATTTATTTATTTACTATTATTATTGTTTTAATTTCACCAGAGAGAAAGAGAGAGAGAGAGAAGGAAAATGAGAAATCAAACCACCAGGTCTAGGACTTGAACTGTGATAGACCACGTGATGAATTGAAGGTGCCATTAAAATTTTCCTACAAAGAAAACTGAAGTCCCAGATAGCTTTTCTGGTGAATTCTTAAAATTACTAAGGAAGAAATAGCAGCAATCTTATACAAATTCCAGAGAAATAAAAAAGAGGAAACAATTCTCAATTCATTGTATGAAGTCAGCATAAACTTGATACCAAATCTGAAAAGAAAATAGCAGACCAAACTTTCTCTCTCACACACACACACACACACACACACACACACACACACACACAGAAAATAGACGCCTGGGAAGGATGAGAGGGGATCACAGTGTGGGAACTTGTTAAATATATTGTCTTTGTGTTTGAGGCTCATGAAATAAACTTTTAAAAAATATGTAAATTAAGGTCCAGCTGATGGTATAGTCATTAAAGCACCTGACTCCTGCATGGCCATTTACGGTCTGAGTCAGGGACCTGGTGGCTTGAAAATCATGCCAGATGCAAGTGCATGCCCAAAATCCCAGGAGGAAAATGGAGAAGTCATTGCAGTATGGCCACCCCCTCTAGGGGGTGATCACTCACTCACCTTCTCTCTCATTGTGTCTCTATTTTTCTCGGGTGGGTGAAAGTGCCCTATGACAAAAACCTTAAAATAAGCAAATAATAAAAATTAATTAATTAAAATAAGTCATTCAGCAAATTAAGCATTACACTAGCATCTACTCAATTCAAAATGGATAGAAAATTAAAAATAACACTTTCACTTTATTAAATAGAGGTGTATTTAGTAGCACATACCTAAACACGATGGGGGTGTAGTCCACACTCCGTCTAAACAGAAGGTCTCCTTAGAGCCTTGCAGGAAATGGTGATCAAGACATCTGTATTCTATGGAGGAACCGTTTTCATAGGTGCCAGCTGTTGCACTAAGGATGACTCCATTTTTAATAAGTGGAGGAAATGAACACATTCCTTTAGATTCTGCAGAAATAATTGGTAAAGTACATAATGAACTGCTATTACAAGCATTGATGCTTTTATAATTGCTACAGAAATGAAATGAGATATTTCATATAAAGGTACTTTTTAGTAGTTCTCAAAACAACTTTTTTTCTTCTTGGAGAGATTTTTGTTATAGGGCATGTATGCTCACCAGAAAGACAGAGAGAGACGACAGAGACAGAGAGCGAGAAATCACTGCCCAGGGGGGATGGCCATGCTGCAGTCCTATCTCCTATAATCTCCTCTGGGATTTTTGGGTACACAAGCACACACACCCAGCATGAGTTTCAAGCCACCAGGTCTGGGACTTGAACTGTGGTTGGCTATGTGGGAGTCCAGCACTTTAACCATTATGCCACCTACTGGTCCTTCAAAAAACATTCAAAATTGAAAACATATCTGGGGAAAAAAAAAAAAGGGAACCAGCAGTTAGCGTAATAGCTATGTCGCTGGACTCCCACGTAGTCGACCGTGGTTTGCGTCCCGGACCTGGTGGCTTAAAACTCACGCTGGGTGCGTGTGCATGTGTGCCCAAGATCCCGAGAGGAGAATGGAGGAGAAGGGATTGCGGTGTGACCATCCCCCCTGGGGGGTGATTTCTCGCTTTCTGTCTCTATGTCTCTCTCTCTCTGTCTGGCGAGTGCACGCGCCCTATAGCAAAAATCTCTCCCCCCCCAAAAAAAAGAAGAAAGAAAACATATCTGGAAGGGCCGGCAGGTGGCAAGGTGGTTAAAGGTGCTGAATTCCCACATGACTGACAGTGGTTTGTGTCCTGGACCTGGCAGATTGCCCTCTTGTTTTCCCATTCCCTCTTTCTGTCTGGTCAAATTTAAAAAATAATAATAATAACAAAAGGAATTAAATAAATGAATAATTCTTTTTTAAAAAAAAAAGATATCTGGAATAATGAACTATTATAAAACATACTGTTATAATTAGGGTTCCATGTTGTAATGTCTAAATATGGCATATTAAACTACCAAAGTGTTCATACTTGTGATTTTAGTCTTCTTACCTAGCTAAAAGTGAGTGTGTGAGATAATACGTGCTTTCTGTATGTATTGTCTTATGTTTTTGTTTTTGTTTTTTTAATGAAAAGTAATAATCTGCATATTCAGGGAGTACACAAAATTTCTCCCAGTCAACAGCAAGCATTTTTTTCAGACTGTGGTCCCTTGGAAATCTAAGTAGAGTGATATTTTATAGTGTTGGGTACTTACATGAGGGTGATCAATTTTCTGAAATGTATAAAACCCCTGGACTTACCCCTTCATAAAATTGACTTATCGGAATTAAAAGATGCCAGCATAGTCCGTCTAAATGTATGTGCTGACTGGAAATTGGAAGTTGATCACTCTGTTTCACAGATTACAAGATGGTGGTAGTGAATCGCTAAGAGTCTTAAGGATAGCCTTTCAATCCAGGTGGCAGATATTAGTCAAGTAAGACATTTTCAAAAGTATTATTGTTTTACCTTTTTGAATACACAAAGGATATTTCACTTCTCCTCTATCACACTTCACAGATAATGCCGACGGTGGGGTTGATGGGGACAAGTCATATCCCTGCTTACATACAAAATCGATTAAGTCTCCATGTAAGACCTTCCCTTCATACTTCCACTTCATCTCTATGTTGTTTCTGCTCATGTCATCCACATTAACTGTGCATGGCTCTGAAAAACAGAATGCTGTTTGGAATTCTTCACTCATCTGGCCAATCTAAAAGTGATATATTTTTTAAGTCTTTAAAAATATAAATTATGACAGACAACAGTATCAGTATTTTATATTTGACATTTATTATTATTACTCTTCACACATATACAATGTATAACTTTATTACTCTTGAATTAATTTATATATTTATTATCTTTATTATGTCATAAATTAATTCAGAATATTAAAAATATTTTTGAAGGGTTAGGGAAGAAAAAAATTATTGTTTAAGGCCATCAGCCAGTTAGGTTAATTATAATTTTCTTTCTTTAATATAAAAGTCTTGGAAGAAAAAAATACTTATTGTATAAATAAGTATATAAAACCTACTATTGAATATACATCAATGGACAAAGACCACTCCCTCATGGAGCTTACTTTCAGACAGAGGGAAACACCCACAGTAAATAATAAATATAACAAATGCATACATTTCATAATCTGTGGCTATCGTTAAACTAAGGCATATGATAACATGGGAGAGAACAGCAGAGGGTAGAGGCTAGCAAAGACTTGGGTGAAAAGAGGTTGTACTTGTAAGTAAGATGATGGAGGGGTGACTAATTAAGAAGTGACTTTTACACAAAAATGTGAAGAAGCTTCAGAAGTGAACGGAGTCACTTTCTGACAGAAGAACGTTCCAAGCAGGAGGAAAAACCAATGCTTGGCTGGAGTGAGGAAGAGTAAGAGACAAGAGTGACTGGAATAGAGGAGAACAAAGATGAGTAGGGGCAAGTTAGATAGGTTCGTAACGTCGGCAGTGATAATTCACAGATAAAAATCCTAGTCCACATCACACACTCGACTGAATTTGTAGTGGCAGAACTTTCGATTCCAACGGGTTGTGTAAAGCTTTCTCTTGCTCTCATGACAGTGGTTTATCACCGCTGAGTATTTGCTTTCCACTAGCACCACGCCTGTCTTGATGCAGTTATTTCAGCTAGAGAATGGCAGATTTCTTTAGACCTTAATTCATTGTGAGTTTGTTTTATTGATAGCTTTTCATTACTATTTGAATCCTGTCTCTATCCTAAAGATTACTATACTTGCGTTCAATGTGATACCAATCACATCATCAAAACTTAATATCATAAACATTTATTAAAATATGAGAACTGTAGAAAAATTATAGGTGAAGATTTGAATTTGAATGGGAACAGTGCACCAAGATTTACTTGAAAGGCAAGAAACACAAAGAGTGAAAGAGTTCAAGACTAAAACTTAGGCTTATGTAGATTTAAAAACACTGTAGATAGAGAAAATAAAAATAGTTGTGATATGTACGATTCTTAAAGGAATAACATAATTTATATGCATGAAGCTCTTACAAGTATGAAAAAGTGGCTAAACTATAAATAATCAATTCATGAAAAAAAATTGAGATCTCTGTGCTCTGTAACTTTTACTCCAAAAATCTGAAAAATAATCAAAAAATAAAACATGGAAAAAATAAAATAACTAATTTTTCAAATAAAAATAGAGATTATTTTAAATGTACAAATATTTAGCTGTAAGGTGTACTTTTAGAAAGACAAATGTTGAACACTAGACCTCTATCAATAAAATGATTTAATTAACTATAGAGTACTTGTATTATGAAATGCTATGCAGCCATTAACACATATAGTAAAAGCACATCAAATCACATTTATAACATATTTTTAGTAAAACAAAAAGATACATAACCTCTGCATAGTGTGATAGGGGTGATTTTTGTGGGATGTGTGTGTGTAAAAGGCTATAAAATGACTTATTCTCTAAATAATTAACAGCAATCATTTATGTCAAGTTAATGATATTTTCTTGCTTTCGATTTTGCATTCTACTTACTAAATTTTTGGTAAATAAAAGTTGACCTTTATAGTTTAAAAGTACTAATATATTCATTTAGAGGACCATTATATTTTAACTTACAGAATTTTATCTTGTCATCAACTATTTGTAAAAGTCACAGTGTAATGTGTTTAATGCCACTGTAGTGACCAATTACATTGCTTTGGAATATACTTCTGGCCAGCAAATTTTTAAAATGAGCTTGAGATAAGGATGATTGTTATTTCTTCAAAGTTATCTGAATGTAGGTAAGTATTTGAATAAAGCTCCAATTCTCCACTTGAAACCTGAACACTCATAATATCACACCTTCATCCAAAATATATTTAGAGTAGCTAACAGTTTTTGTGTGATTAACAGGATGTAATGAAGTTGGTCATTTGGGTGAGAAAGTAGTGGCAAAGCAGCTATTAGCAATGTGTTCTACCAAGGGAAGAATGGGATTGATGATCCTCTCCAAATGACAGTCTGTGGACAAATACAAGAAGAGACATCGAAGGTCACAGTAGAGAGGAAAGTGCATTTAGGAGAGAGACAATACAAACATTAGTCACAAAAATGTGTGTACACTGTGCCAGCAGGTGGTGTGGTGCTTAAAACATTGGATCCTGCATGATCGATGCCAGGGTTCAAGCCCTGGACCCAGCTGCTTGAAAAATCATGCTGGGCACATATATGTGTGTGCCCAAAATACCAAGAGGAGACTGGAGGGGAAGGGATTGCAGCACGGTCATACTCTTGGGGAAGTGATTTCTCACTTTCCTTCTCTTTCTGTCTCTCTCTGTCAAGTGCATATACCCTATGGCAGGAAAAAAAAAGAAGTGTATATACTTAAAGTCACTGAATCATACAAGTGGCTAAAGTGGGAAATTTTATGTTACATATATTTTGCCACAGTAAAAGGAACTAATGAGGTAAGAACTAATGTAATCCTGGATATAAGTTATTAGAGATTTTTCTACTTAAAGAAATGAGAGGAGAAACACTTTGGGATCATATTTATACAAAATCATCACTTTTGTGCTACAAAACACTATAAAAAATTATAAAAAAGATACAAACAATAATAAGAGAACTTGGGTGTGTCCTCTTTCTTACCCAAGCACACGGGTGGGGATGACCATTTTCCTTGCTCACAATAAGATATGTGAGGTCCCTTCAGTAAGTAATACTCATTGCATCTGTACTCCACCGAGGATCCGGTCACATAGCTTTCCAATACTCCATTCAGAACAGCCCCATTTATTACATCAGGTGGAGGCTTACAATTCTCATTATTTTCTAAGAAAAGAGGTTATTTAAAAGTTTATATAAACCCATAACAACCTAACTATATAATATATTTACTCATGCTATGATATCTTAATATTGGTACTATATAATTTAGGAGAATTAATTTAATTTACCAAAGATGGGAGAGATGTTACTCAGCTCAAGCACTTTAAAAATTGCTAAGCAAGAATAAATAGTCAAATGTTTTGCCTAACAACAAGTATGCATATTTTCCTCTTTTCTTGACTAAAGAAGAATTATGAGATGGATATTTATCAAATGATCAGGAAGAGAAACAGTGCTCTTCAACCTAAAGTCATGGCCACTATCCCAGGTCTTAATCAATCCATTGATGAAATGCCCTTTTTTGGGGGTCTTTGTTTAACTTTTTCGTACTCTACTTGTTTTTTTCATGTCTTTCATTACTTATTATGCCTTGTTCAACAAATTCCTAGTAAAAATGAGTGTGGAGCACTCTCCAGGGCTGATCAAGAAATAAGACGGCAAGCAGGAGGGGTAGTGCCCAGGAGTGACAGATGACACCTGCTGGTGCTCCGCAGTAAAATCCAAGGCCAAGGACATGGCTCAGGAGGGCGGAAGGTCCAGCAGGATCAGCAGGAGTTAGCCCGAGTCGGTAGAACAGTGCTCTCTCCTGACCTTGCAGGACATGCAGGGAGAGAAAGGAGGGCCTACTCATGGCAGGCCGTTCAGTCTGTTCCTGTCCCTCGTCTAACGAAGCCCATGATCACCTCTGCCCTTTCACTGAAAGCTCTTAGGTCAAGGCATCACACAGGCCAGATACCCGCACTAATGTATTTACTTTTTTTCTTTTAGCTTCTGAATTCTTTATGTTAGCCGGGATTCGACGTGTGACTCCACACACACGCGGAGCAGAGCAGGCGCAATGGATTGTCTGTAAGCTCCACAGCAGGGGTCCCTTGCCCTGAGCATGCGGAGTAAATAAACAGAATGGAGCGTTGTCCCCTAGAGGTTTAGCCAGTGAGGTCAATGGCACATACACACCGACGCACTCGGGGGGGCGGGGCCACTTTCCGCGGTTACAGGTGATCTCGTCTGACCCTCGGAGCTGGTAGCCGCTCTCACATCTGTACGTCACTTTATCCCCACTGTAATAGACCCGGGAGGCGGGGTTTGCGGCACCATTCTGGATGGAAGGCGGGTCCTCACAGGCTACCTTCTCCTTTTCTTCTGAAAAGATACCATTTAAGACACCATTTAGCTGCACACACGCATTGCTTTTTCTGACAATTTGTTCAGGAGTTACTAACCAATGCATTTGGGAGGTTCTGTCCATTTCCCATTTTCACAGCGTACTTCTTCTGACCCCTGGATCTCAAAATTGAGCTCACATTCTATACGAACTATTTCTCCATGACGATAAGTTGTCAAATATGTTTGAACTTTGGAATTCAGAGGCAAAGGTGGAGGAGGACATCGATTTCTTTTTCCTTTAAAAAAAAAAATCAGCATATGTAGTCATATATTTACCAAATAAATGAATAAAGATTTAACAGGAATGTGTGTTGGGCTGAGCACTGTAGAACGCATGGCAGAAAGATTCTAGGAGCACCTTCTGATCCCCACTTCCTGATGGGCACCTCCTTGTGTGATGGAAGACACACACAAGGGGATCTTGAATGGGATCTGTGACTTGTTTCTAGCCAATACAATACAGCAAAGATGATGGATTAGGCGTGACTAGGTGTACGTGATTATGCCACATAAAATCAAATGCCATTCCTGC